TCTTGTCGTACCCTCTGAGCCTGAACTGGCACCCTGACCCATTAGGGAATTGGTAAAAGAGTCAATGGGTGATTTGTGAGAACCGCTTACGGCCTTTGGGGAAAGATAGTCAGGCTAGAAAGAGAAGCCAATCAAGAAATACAGTGATAAGGGGTCGTGAGGTGACTTTAATCACGGAATACGCTTAAGACGAGCGCTGAAATGCCGTGTCAGGATGCCGATGTCGTAGGATGTCTGCAGCCAACTAGCACGACTGTACGCCTTAGATTAGATGTCAAACGTAGACCAGCATACATTAATCGACTTGAGTATCCAAGAGCACCTCCAGTGTGTTGATTGAACACTACAGAAAATAAAATTGGCAAGGGATCCGGGAATATAGCACATAGGACGCTTCAAATCCAGAGGACGCTTGGTGATCGGACCACGTATTGGAGCTCAACTACAGACAGTACATATTACACTCAATCTACCCAACATAGTACGGCTACCATTCCACCTAAGTCTGTCAGATGGCCTGAAATCGAGATACAGCGGGACGAGAGGCCGTGCCTTGGAGACAAACAAAAAACTGTCCACTAATTGGAAGTTGACTCAAAGGGTCTGCGTAAGCCTGAGCAGGTCTGCTAACTCATGGGCTTAAGCAAGTACGTCAAAAAGACGGTGGTCATAGTGATGCGTTATCTGGCCTGGCGATGGAGATGGGTTAAGATAAGCATAAATTGTGCGGCTAAAGGCACTTTAGTGATCGGGCAAAAACAGCAACTTTGTTGCCAATCAATAATTTAGCGTTTGTCGATTGGTCTAGGATAACGTCTGTCGGTCGGATCATACAGTAACATCGCCGGCTTGTACACAATTAGGATGCCAAGAATGACAAAATTGTTCTTGCGGATCAAATAAGAAACTAATAACTTCGCATATAATCGCTAGTTAAGGGAAATGGTTCGGTATTTCACAAAGGGAGCGGTTACCAAAGGAATTCAAATTGCCCGAAAGACACCAAAAAGCATATCAAAAAATAGAAACAGTGAGAGAAGGACAGAAGCTAATAAAACCCCTAGTCAATGTTTCTTCATAAAGTACAATAGTTGAACCGATTGTCAAGCTGACGCAAAACGTTATGGCTAAATGCAAGATAATTGATTGCAGTTCACCGTAACTCGTAAACAAGGTAGAATATAAAATTTCCCATTCCAGCTTTAGCCATGGCACATTCTAGCTAGAAGCGCTGATGCAGACTGTATCTGTGATAGCAGAGGGTTCTGGCTATAAATAAACGTGGCGGATAAATAAACTAGTCGGATACTATGGAGAGGCATGCCGATTTCTAGATAACTGTAAAATTATATCGACCAGTGCTCGAATCTTGCTTTAGACTACGCAGTTCCGTTAGTAATTTCAAGTTCCGCTCACATAAAGCCATTACTTAGCGACACGAAGTTGCCAAACGTTTAAAAATACTTCTTCACAAGGACTTCAAAGGAAAATGCAAACCAAATGTCCCACCTCAAAGTAGCCCGAACTAGATATGCCGGGCACACCCGTTTGCTCCGGCTTATGAACCTGGTCTCCGGTAGTCCGTCGCTGAAAACGTGGCAGCATGGCACTGTCGCCTGTCATTTGATTGTTGGAATTGCCACGGAGAACGATTCCACGAGTCCAAACACCATTGCTACCACTGCTTGCACTACTGCCGTTGCTGACCGTTTCAAAATCACGCCCAGTGAATCGAGCAAACGCCTCACTCATTCGACTGGCGTTGAAAGCTCGTGCACCGCCGGTTCCGCCATTTATTACCTTTCGGTAGTCATCACCGTTGTCACGTCGAAAACTACTACTACTACCGCCTACAGCTCCGGAATTGTTCGAGAGAAGGGAAGCGGTGCCGGTGATCGGAGTAACGGCCCTCGAATTTCGGCTGTTAAAAGATTGTCGCGAACGCTCCTTTGAATAGGCGTAGTTTCCGTTGTTGGGAGGCGAGCTGCCGAACAAATCTAATTCTTTGCGTTGAGAACACAGAGCTTTGCTCAGTTGGTTGAGCTTCATCCAGTCTGACTCAGCACTCGTTCCCCAGAGTTCGCTGGATCTGGACGAGGCGAGTCCAGTAAGGCCGAAAGGAGGTGAACTACCATCCGAAGGGTGATAACCACTACCTGGCACGTCTCGGTGGGCTGGAGACCGCTCACTGCGTGATGGCTCTAGGGCAGTTCCCGTTTTCTGTAAAAAAAAAATAACAGCTTTTAAGAACAGTTATACTTCGAAGATAAAAAGGCGACTGCAAATGCGCTAGCTATACTAAGTTTCCCCAAAAGTAGACAGGCGAAACGTACATTGAGATTAAATGTGATCAGGATAGTAAAACATCCCATTTAAAACTTCAACTACATCAGAGCACTAGCACAAGATTCTATCTCCGGCAAAGATGGGGTGCGTTACCCTCATTAAGCACAATCAGCAGATAGGCATCAATTGTCTTGAATCGGATGACAGTAACATCTTACAGCTACGAGGGACTAATTTTAAAGCCCGCATTTACCGATCATTAAATAAACGTAGACGCATAAAAATGGACACGAATTCTAGGATGTTAAAAATGAGGACATACCGCTTCCAGTTCCCTCCGAATTTCAGAAAGAAATTTGGGTTTGGTGGACTCGGTTTGCTGTCCGGTGTAACGCGGAACCCAAAGGTTTTGGCGGAGCTCTATGACATCCTTCATCATGAAACGAATCCGCGTATCTAGAGGAAGAAATTTGTTTCCCGCAGATTTCCCCTTAGTCGAGGGACGAGATGAAGTTTCCACAGCCTTTATATCGCCCAGCCGATTTTGTTGACCCGGCGTCCCGCGCTCCAGTATGCAGCGCATCCGCTCAAAGTACTGGTCCATCAAATAACGAGCCTTTTCTGTGTCCATGTGCTGGCCAACAACTTTCAGGAATTGGCACAAGCATTCCATGTCCAGAGACAACCGATCGCTTTCCAACGAATGTCCTATTCAAGGAAGAAAAAAAAGTAAATTTTAGCCGATGACTCTAATCATCTATTTGAGGCTGGTCTGCTTTGAGGATATACTTGGTACGCGCGTCCCCATTCAGACTTACGAATGTGTTGAAATGAGTAGCCACAAAATCAGAGGAGACTGGAATGGTCACTTCTGACTTATCCATCATCAGCTACCAATACTCAAACCCTACTTTTGGAATTCGAACCAGACATTGTTGGCCTCTTACTCGTCCCGCTGTGCCACGGGGCTTAACCTAGAATCCTCGAAGACAGTTGCTAGGCGGCTGTTCATATAAAGAGAAAACGGGAGAGGAATTTAAAAAAAAAACAGATCAAGGTTAGGCCTGAACTCTATTTCTAGTGTTAAGTCATCGGAACGAATAAAAAGTGAAAGGAAAGAACTGGCATAGTACCGAGTGCCGTAAATTAGTTATATCGAAGCTAAAGCCATGAAGTTTGAACGCGCGAGACAAAAAATGGAAGGGTTGGGTACGACGAGGAACACAGTACTAAATGCTAATTGAATCTTATCAACACTACCTCTTCATAGCTGTAAGCTACATTGAAACATTAACTCGAGGTACAAAGGAGAGGTACACTTACCTTTACTGACATCAGATCCCACTGCAGACTGTGATGACGGATCATGGGGTTCTGAAGGTTGTTTGATTTTTGACTTTCGGGACAACAAAATCTTGACACAGTCGTGAAGGACTTTTTCGGGTACTGTGCCATTGCGCCCAAGCTCTGCAATAAAGCGCACTCCTCCGAGATAACGTCTTCTGGCACTGCTGTCCGAAGGGTCAATTTTATCCCTCTTGGTAAATTCATCTTCGCAACGTTCTAGCAAAAGTATTTTAAAAGTCTGGGGGCTAGAATGGATATACTCTTACTGTGTGCTGACTATCGACTTCGAAATTACGTGCCTTTTCAGACAAAATCAGGCAAAAGTCGGCGTAAAGTGAAGTAAAAGTCGGTTCATTGGCAGCTTTCTGAAAGATCTAAAACCAGAGTTAAGATATATTTACATATACAAAGATCGTACCAGTTGAACAATGAGATCAAGGGCCTCAGGCGATTCAACATTTATATTTAGAATATGCTGAGACAAACTGGTAAAATTTTCCGCAGTAACTTTATTTAGGATTCTGGAGCAAGGTCGAGAGGAAATAAACGACTTACGAGAGGACCTCCCTACGAATGGCTTCGGTACCTGTAGTCAGTTGAGAACGAGCAGTAGGCTGAGACTGACATTTCTGATTCGTAAAAGACGTATCAGATGTCCGGAGCGAACGCGCTCGAAATGGTTTATTAAACGGTGCGTCAGATTCGCTCGCCGAGTCTATACAAGTACTGGCGAGTCTTCCAACTTTGTCCAGAATTTTGACAGCTTATTTTGAAAGATACAGAGCACGTTTTGGATGCTAAAAAATAGTAACATAGAAGAGACGCATACGGGAGGGGGGAATGGACGGCCTGATTTCACAATTAATTACGAAACAATTTACGGGGGATAAGATTGATAAAGCGAATCCAAGGCAGGCGCCAACTTGAAATGCACACAGCGCAGTTAAATAATAACCGGAGTACAGAAGACTAAGCAAC